GGATTACCCCGAAGGTATCGCAGAACGTGCTTGGCTGCTGTCATGTTCACCTGCGCTGGGTTGCTGCAGGTCTTGGAAAGTTGTAGGGCAGCGTAGGAGAGGTCGAATCGCGTGCACTAGGCCAGGTAGAGGATGCTTCCCATCATCGACTGGTAAATTTTCTTGTCCGTGGGTCCTAGGATTTGGTCCTGAGGTTGATTCGTGGAGATTTCCGCTCCGTATCCAGGAGTGCTCACTGGGTTGGCCTCTTGCATTCCGAACCGCTCCAGAAGTGTGTTCACGTAGTGCTCCTGTGAAATGGCCAGGGTTCCTTGCTCGTAGTCTCGCTGCACGTCGATCCCGAGGATCCGCTTTACCTCTCCCATGTCGGTCATCTCGAATCGATCCGTGAGCTCCTTCTTCTTCTGGTCCACGAGCTGCTGGTCTCCTCCTGTGATGAGAATGTCGTCTACGTAGACCGTGAGAATCACGATGATGTTGCCGCTGGTATACACGTACACGCAGGGGTCGGATTGAGTCCTTTTCCATCCGAACACCGTGAGGGATTCGTCCAGGGTGTCGTTCCAGAGCGCAGGCGACTGCGATAGGCCGTAGAGGCTCCGTTCTAGTTTGTACACCATGGGTTCTCCCGTCGCGGAGTTCTTGGCGGATGTACCGGGGGCGGGTCTGACGTACACATCTCTGTCGCAGAGGGCGGTCAGGAAGGCACCGACAACGTCCAGTTGGTAGATGGGCCAGTTATTGTGGCAGCCAATGGCGGACGTCATGCGAATGCTCCCGATACGGCATACTGGTGCGTAGCTGCGTCCGTAGTCCTGTCCTGGCTCTTGACGATGTCCTCCGACTACCAGGCGAGCTTTGAAGCGTCCGTCCAGCTTTTTCTTGAAGACGAATTTCGTTCCGAGGATCTTCTCTCCCTTGGGAACACTGCTGAGGGGCACCAGATTGTAGACGTTGTGTTTCCGCAGATTGTCCATTTCCTTGCTGCACGCTCCTTTCCATTCTTCGCGCTGGGGAGAGCTCATGGCTTCGTCGTAGGTGTTGGGGATTTTGATCGCTTGATTCGTCTCCTCCAAGATCCCGTGGTGTTCGTGATTGGTCGTGACGTAGGCGTGAGCACGCGGCACCGTGAAGAGGTCTTCCGCAACGTGGGCGAAATCCTCAGTATCGCCAGGGCATGGGAGCTGGGCTTGATCGGCTATCTCAGCCAGCTGAGTGAAGGAAAGACCGGATGGCTCCACGCGGCCCGTTGTAGCATGGGCTCGACCGCGGTCGTTCATGGTGACTTCCAGATTGGCAGGAACCAAGTTGACGTCGATATGATCGTCGCTGGTGGGCTTCCCGCGCGTGCTGGCTCTGGTGACTTGCAGGCGCCGCATGCCGGAGGATCCAGTTGATGCAGAAGTGTCCGGTTCAGTCGGGTTCGACGATGATGGACTGGGGCTAGATGCGTGGGTCTCGGATGACGATCCAGCTGGCGTCGATGGGAGATGTGGTGATGGAGCGTCCCCGTCGCCGAGATCTTGCCCGTTTCCATGTTCGTCCTCGTGCCCGTCCAGTTCTAGGCGAAGCTTCTCCCGAGCGAGATTGTCTTGCTGCATCTTCCGGACTTCTTGCCGAAGGAGTTCGTTCTGCGCCGTGAAGTCCAGGTCGCTCGTCGAGTGGGGGCTGTCCAGCAGGGAGGTGAAGCTCAGCACGTCGCTCTCGTACCCGTTTGCTTCAGTGGAATACTGGAAGGGCACTGAGCGGGGTGGAGATTCGATGAAAGTCACATTCCGGCTCTCGACCACGGCCCCGTTGGATGGATTCAATACCCGGTAGGTCTGGCTGTCGAGGCCGAAACCACATAGCTTGCCTTCGAAAGCTCTGTCGTCCAGCTTCTTTCGGTATCTCTCGTGGTGTACGAAGGCGCGCGCTCCAATGACCCGAAGTCCCGAGAGATCAGGTGACTTATTGTGCAACTTCGAGTATGGCGTAGCTCCTCCCAGTGCTGAGTGTGGGGACCTGTTCAACAGGTATGCTGCAGTCAGCATTAACTCCCCCCACATGGACGGCGGAAAATCTCCATCCTTCAGAAGACACCGGGTGACTCCGGCCAGGGTTTGTCCGTCCCGTTCCGATACACCAATTTGTTGAGGGGTGTTGGTGGCGGCGTATTCGAGCTTGATAGCTGAATTCTTGCAGTAGTCCCGAAATTCGGATCCGGTGTTCTCGCCTCCCTTGTCGCAGCGGATGGTCTCGATCCGGTAGCCTCCTGCCGCTGCGACGCACATGTTGTACGTGTGCACCGCCTCGGTCGTGTCAGATTTCTTGCGAAGCAGGTACACTTCTTTCATCTTCGTGTAGTCGTCGGTGATCTTGCACGCGTACGGGAAGGAGCCTCCTTTATATTTCGCAGGTGGATTAACAGGCCCCATGTTGTCGATGACCACAAGCTGTCCAGGCCGTGATAGTTCGCGAGTCGATTGCTTCGGGTGGGGGGACTGCTTGTGTTTCGTGATCTGGCAGACCCCGCAAGGGGAGAGACTGTCGCGATAGTCCACCCCGGTACCCGTGTCCTTCCGAAGGATGTCCAGGCTCCGAGCATTGAGATGTCCAAGCCTCCTGTGCCAGGTGTCCGCGCTCACTAGCGTAAAGCAGACGGCGTTCGCCGTGTGGGTCTGTGACTGCTTCTGGTGGGGCACGAGGGATTTCGTGCCAGATGGCTGGACGTTCTGCTCGAACGTGATGTCGAGGGTGCACATGCCTTGGTCTCGCGGGTCTTGTGTGAGTGGAATCACCTTGTCTTGGATAGCAAGGTGCGGAGTGCTCTCTTCGACGACGCAGCGCAATCCCTTTTTCAGGAGGGAGGTGGGCGAAAAAATGTTGCGACCAAGTCCCGGAACGATGAGTCCCTGAATCCGCACGCGCAATTGCTGTCCTCGATTGTCCTTGACGGTGCAGTGTAGGATGCCCGTGGCCGTGCCTTTGAGTTGTCTTTCTCCGGCCACGTCCACGATCTTTGGAAAGTTTCGCTGGGTGTAATCGTGGAGGTTTCCGTCGGGGATGAGGCGATTGTCAAACATGGTCTCCGATGCTCCCGTGTCTACCAGCAGGCCTACCCCGGTGGAGCTCGCGGCGAAGTTGCGTCCTGAGATGCGGGAACACGTGCCGAACATGAAGCCGCTGTCAAAGGCGTCCTCGTCCCGGGTGAAGTCGACAACTGCCACTTCATTGTTTGAGTCGTGCTTGTTGGACGCCGACGAGCAGTGAGTGCAGTTGGAGCACGCGGTGAATGCTTTACTTGAGTCCTTGGTGTCTTCCGGGCGCTTTCCTCCTTGCTGGTAGCATTCCTCGTCCGAGTGAGACGTGGTGTTGTGCTTGGAGCACCACTTGGTAGCTCCGGCGGGCTTCGTTTTCTTCTTCGCCCTGTTCTTGATCTTGGGGCAGTTCCTCCTGATGTGCCCCGGCTCGTAGCAGCTGTGGCAGATGATGTCAGACGCGGTCGTTGCCATGGCAAATCCTCGACCAGCTATGCGTCCCTTCCATCCCTTGCGCGATTGTTCGTCCAAGAAGATGTTGCGCATGGTGGATTGCATGTCCAGGACGTTGAAGGTTGGGTCTCTGAACACCATCAGTTTGACGTCCTTGTATTCGTCGGAGAAGCCCTGTACGCAGATGTCCTTGAAGCGGCGGTCGGAGATGGGTTCTCCCATCTTATCCAGCTGGGTGCGAAGTAGGTGCTTCTGGTTGAAGTAGTCGTCGGGATTTTCACCAGGGTTCATGGGGTTGTTCTCCAGCTCCTCCATCTTCGCCCTGATGACCTCGTCCGTTACCCTGTCATAGTTGTTGCAGAGCTCCTCGAAGGCAGCTTGTCCGTCGCCGCTGATGCCAGTGTCGTCTTCGTGCTTCTGTATCGACAAGGCGGCTGGAAGTTCCACTAGGAGGAAAAGAATGGCGTAGAGATCTTCGTTTGCCCTTGTGTAGGAGTCGAAGGCCGCTGTGTCTGCGGGATCTGGCTTCCTTTGTTTCTTCAGCAGTGGCAGGATGTCCTTCCTGGTCACACCTAACACCACGCAGAATTTCTTCATCCATGTCTTGAACTCAGCTGGGTCCTTTCCGTCGAATTTCTTGAGGCCTTTGATCACGGTTGCCAGGTTCGTAGAACTATCGCTGGCGAACGCGCTTCCACCTCCTGTGTTGCTCGTTGCGGTATCCATTGCTCGTTCCAGCTTTATTTTCTTCGTCTTGATAAAAGTACTTCCTGCTGTAGGAGTATATTTGCTCGTGGTACAACTGCCTGTACCCGAGTCTTCCCCACCCCGTTCCTGCTACTGATATAGAGGACTCCGGTTGTGGTTTTCTTGTTTCCGATCCCGCTCCTGCTACTGATATAGAGGACTCCGGTTGTTGATCGCCTCCACTGATGATAAAGTGTAGTTCCTTGTACACCCGATGCGTATGCCGCTCGAGACTCCCGCGCACGTGACCCTTGCTGCTAGTTCACCACAGAGATACCCGCTACTGCCACAGGGGTGGTAACGTGTGTATACGACGTGAACCCTCAGCACCTTGGTGTAGATGACCAAGTTTGCGCGTCTGCTTGTGTTGCCGTTGACCGATGACGGCGTCGCAATCTCCAGAAATCTCCGAAACCAGGTTCTCTCGTTGTCCACGGATGAAGGTTGATGCCCCGAGAAGAGGTTGCCTTGATCTTCCCGTGATGTTCGCAGCTCGTAGTGTGTGCGTTAGCCGAGGCTCATAACCTGTCAGCGATATTTCGCTGTGCACTAGCAGCAGTACGATGCTGCAGATGCCAGGAGGCTGTGAAGCCTACCTCAGAGGTTCACACTCTGTGCGGCTCCAACCGCGAGAGACTTGGAATGGAAATATGAAGATTAATTGCTGACTCCCGAGTCAGATTGATGTTGCTGGTACTGAAGAGGAGTGAGAGGAGTGGGCGAGCTTAGGGCTGCACCACTCTTCTCGAATACCGGACAAATAAGCCAATCACACGAAAGATCCAGAATGCGTCCAGAATGATTTCTGGAAGCCCTCCTACGTTCTAGAAGAGTATCAACTGCAACCTAGATCTAGAACGCTTTCAGAAGCTTACAGAAGGAACCAGAAGTTTCCAGAAAGACTTCCAGAGGCTACAAGAGGAACTAGAAGTTTCCAGAAGGCTTCCAGAAGCTACACACGTTCTACATAGATGTCCCGGTCAACCTTGACCTAGCATGCTTCCGGAATATTTCTAGAACAAGAGAATACATGCCAAGGAGAGATGGATACTTTTCTACTGCTACGCAGACTAGTTGCTGCAATCGTATTCAAAGGTCAAACCGTGTCCGACTACTGGTGGTCTCGACGCACGATTTTCCTGACAGAAAACCGCGCACAATCGCACCAAATTGCCAACTGGACACGTACAACGACCGTTTGAGCGAGTTTCAGTGGACTTAGTTGAATACAAGAGCGAATCGATGTCAGCCGCCGGCGTACGATGCAAATATGTCCTATCCATGATGGACCATCTAAGCCGATTCACCGTGTTGACTCCGATTCCGAATACATCAGCTGTCACAGTTGCTCAGGCTATCATTGACCGCATCATAGGCATTTTTGGACCGCCTGAGATGTTGCATTCTGATCAAGGGCCTGAATTTGAGAATAGTGTGATCCACCAGTTACAGAGTATTCTGAACTACAAGAAAACCCGCACAACACTATATCGTCCGCAAGGGAATTCTGTGTCGGAACGACTACATTCAACGATGCACGCCATGCTTGCCATGCATAGTTCAATGAAGCGTGATAACTGGGCATTGCTACTACCTTTCATACAACTGGCGCATAACACTACTTTTAGTGCTACCATGCATGAAACTCCATTTTTCCTCATGCTTGGCAGACAACCACGACTACCTGTCGATATCATTCTCGGTATTCCACATGTAGGAACAACAGCCAATACCGAAGAACTTGCTAAAGACACGCGGGAAAATTTACAAATTGCTTTCGAATTAGCGCGCCGAAACTTAACGGAACGTACAAAAAAGCAAGCGGCGAGTAATTCAAAACTTAGACCGATTCCCGTGTTTTAACCTGGCGATCATGTACTGGTATAGACTATAGACCATATCAGGATTCAGATGGCCCCGACCCGAAATTGCTTTTACCTTGGCGGGGACCATACATACGTCGTCTGCTCGCAACTATCACCCGTAGTAGCATACCGAGTGAGACGCCCAAAAGAAACTCGAGAAGTTTCGGTTCACCTAGCCCATATTAAACGATATTTTGCGAGGAAAACACCGCCTGCGCCCGACTTTGATAAACTCGCTGAGTTCTTTTTAGGGCGACAGATTCCGTTACCCGCTATCGATCACCCTGATGAGGCCCAACCAAGAATTGAGTCTTATGTTGTAGACAAAGTGGTAAGCCACAATAGTGGTCGGGGTCCGAGGACTCCTTTGAATTACCGATACCGTTTGCGTCTTCGCGGGTATGGCCCGGAGTCAGACCTCGAATACCGCGCAGATGAGGTACCACAATGTCAAGAAATGATTGCTGCATACCATAACTTCTCCCTTCTTCCCCTCGCTCCTCGACAAGCTTTTGCTTAGACATGGGTTGTAGTGAAGGGGGGGGTCTTTCTGGCGAGCAGGGCTAGATTCACCCTCAAGGGATGACCAAAACCTT